GTGTGGGGCCTCAGATGTCGGTGTGAGGCCCTTAAAGACCGGTATGGGTCCTCAGAAGCCGGCATCGATCCTTCAGAAGCCAGTACGGGGCCCTCAGAGGCACATAAGGGTCAGTTTGGGTCCCAGAGACAGAAATGGGACCATCAGAGGCCGGTGTGGAGCCTTTAGAGGCCGGTTTGGGCCCTTAGAGGCCAGTTTAGGGCCATCAGACACCAGTACAGGGCCTGCAAAGGGCAGTTTGAGACCATCAGAGAACCGACTTGGGCACTCAGATGCTAAGGTGGGTCCTTACAGGCCAGCATGGGGCCCTCAGAGGTTAGCGTGGGGCCCTAAAAGACCGGCATGGGTCGGCGTTGGACCCCAGAGGCAGCCTCAAAGACCAAAGATGGGCCCTCAAAGGTGATGCGGGCCCTTAGAGGCCGGCATCGGGTCTTCATAATCCAGTGCAGGGCCCATAGAGGCTAATATGTGTCCTTACAAGCCAGCATAGGACCCTCAGAGGTCAGTGTGGGGCCCTAAAAGACCGGCATGGGCTGGCGTTGGACCCCAGAGGCCAGCGGAGGGCCCTTAAAGGCCAAGATGGGTCCTCAGAGGCCGATGCGGGCCCTTGGAGGCTGGTATTGGGTCTTCAGAATCCAGTGCGGGGGCCTCAGAGGCTAATGTGGGTCCTTACAGGCTAGCATGGGCCCTTAGAGGTCAGTGTGGGGCCCTAAAAGACCGGCATAGGCCGGCGTTGAACCCCAGAGACCAGCGGAGGGCCCTCAAAGACCAAGAGGAGCCCTCAGAGGTCGATCCGGGCTCTTAGTGGCCGACATCGGGTCTTCAGAATCCAGTGCGGGGCCCTCAGAGGCAATTAAAGGCTAGTCTTGAGACATAAATGAGGCCACCAGAGCCTGTGTAAGGCCCTCAGCCGCCGGTTGGGCCCCTGAGACCGGTTAAGGGCCCTCAAAGGCCAGTGGAGGGCCCTCAGAGGTCACCGTGGGTCCTCAGAGGTCAATGTGGGCGCTTGACCGCCACTGAAGGTCCATCAGAGGTCAGTGTAGGAACCTCAAAGACCGGTATGGGATCTGCTAATATGTAGCTGGCGTGGGTTTCTCGAGCCTCGTGACAATCGAATACGGGCCAGGGCCCCATACGCCCATGGGGGCCCATCGGTTGTTTGGGGGGGGGCAAATGATATGATGGCCCCCTGATTTGCCTTTGGGAGGGCATGGCCCTGATGCCCCCCCCCCCCCCTGCGACCGCCACTGCACCAATCTGAGGCTGTTGACAAAGCTGACATCTGGCGAGCAGGCTGAAAACCAAAACTTTAGTCCAGACAAAGCGCGCCCTTGAAGAAGTGCGCCTAAAGCGGTCAAAAGGTGTCGTCTGCCGGCGCAATCGTTGAATTTAGAGTGCGCTCACGTCACGTATAATGGCTGAATGCCAAATCGTTTCCAGACAAAAATATTCGATCTTTTGAGTTGTTTCTTGTTGGACATGAGATTTAGAATATTTATAGAGGTTGTGTCAAAGCGGTGAATGGCAAAAACGGTTCTAAGCACCTTAAAAGCCTTTGTAGATTCAGTACTTTTTAAGCGCACCATGTTGTGTATCGGCGCAGTGAAAAGTCACGTGACCCGACCTGGTCACGTGACTGCGCTTAAAACCGAAATCGTGATCAGGGGAGGGATGACGGATTTCGGTGTTTGATTTGACGTGGAATGCCCCATACGCTAACCGTCGCTCATCGTGCCGTAGCTCGTCGCTAGTCCAGTATAGTTCGCCACACGTCCCGCCGTAGTTCACCACTCGTCCCGCTTTCGGTCGTTCCTGATACTAGCACCTGCCAAGCCGCCACTCTCAACCTGAGCATGTTCCCGGAGGTGCCCTGGCTTTCACAACAGGTGGCACGGCTCCAAAGAAAGCGCGATGTTGGACCGCCGAGTCGGAGTGTTTGTTTTGGAGTTGATGTTGGGGCAGCCTCATCATGTACCCGGCCGTGACGCAGACGGTAGTAAAACTCACATGCCTGGAGGCAGCGTTGACGTGCGTACCTGGTATGCATAGAAAAATAACCAAGTGAAAAATATCACACTTTATTGAGGCAACTGCAAGCTTGCTTGAATGTTACAGCCGATGGATGGCTCCACAACATCACGACTCGTCTAGTCCTGAAGTGCGTACTCAAACTTGCATAAATTAATAAAAACACAACAGCACCACACATCCATAACAAGTCGGCATTTTCATCAAATGCCAGACAGATTAGCTCTCTAACCAACCAGCGATGCGGGTCATTCTACGCCGTTGGACGCTATGTCGCAGCACACATGGGCGTCGAACTGGGTCATCTGCATACGTCTCCGTCGATCGACCGAGCGCGCCTGCCGCTGCGGCGTCTAAGTAGTCTCCGGGCCGGAGGCACCGAACCCTGTCAGCTCCGGGCCGATCAGCGATTCCGGGATCGGTGCGGTCCGTGCCGTCCGGGACCCAAGTCGGAAGTGCGCCCGTTCCCTGATCGAGTCTCGAGTGATTCCTGATACGGTCTGGTCTGTATTGAGTCGAGGCCCCATGGGCCAGCGTCGGCCAGATTGATTGTCGAGTTAGGAAGGCCGATTCCGAAGTGGGTTAGAGACTGCAGGGCATCTTGGGTTCTAATCTGCGGCAGCGCCTGAGTGTGTGGGTCTGCTGGAATTGTTATATGCAGAGGATCTTCTGCTTAATTCCGTTCTCAGACAGTCCATAAAGGCATTACGACTATTACGAATAGTACGAATATTACGTATAATTTTCGATATTAGCGTGATTGGAACCAGGTAATTTTATTTGCATGTATTTACATCTTACGCGGTACCTGTACACTGTACAGTGTTGCTGCTCAACAACACTCACCTGATCACTCACGCTCCCACTTGCAAACGCGTAGGCGCTTCCACTTTTTTGCGATAGGTATCGAATCACGACATACTACTGAGCAATACAGACATAACGCAGTAGCTTTCAATCCTTTCAAAGCCTACTGCAGTTTGTCAATACATATAGTTGAAATACGTAATGCGAACACAACGGTGCTCTGAGAGAGTCTCAGGCCGTTTAACACATTTACACATATGGTTTTTAGTCAAGCAGGTGCATCAGGACTTCCCGACTCTAGATAGTTTATGTTAAAATATTGACAGGCAAAACACTGACTGGGATACCTATGTGAGTGAATAGTTTAAAATAAAATAAAATGAAATATCTCAAAGCATCGTTAATTATGCATTCATTGTCAACATCAGCGCACAAATTTACAAATCTGGGGCTGCTCCAAAGAGTTTAGAGGACTTTCCTCACAAAGTCAACACAGCGCGTCTGTAATTATAATCTCAAGCCGTGGTCCTTCAGCGTAATCGACTGCTTGTTGACGCCAAGAGCCCGTTATGCTGAAACCATTCGCGCATTTCAGTCCATTTCTGGAAAGGTACAATTAATGCAGCTGCACGCCTGCCGAGTAGTGCTGCCATATGGAGCTGTTGTTGAGATGTCATTAAACAATGTTGCCATATGTTGCTGTTGTTGGGGTGTCATTCAGGCCATGGCGTCTAAAGCTGAAACTGAGGACGTCGCTTTGATTTAGGGTGCCGCGAACAGCCAGAAACCGATGCTAGCACTATCAAAGACTGCTTATGGTTTGAACCCAATCTACAAAGACACCAATGCAAAAACAACAATGTCCTTAAGCGTGCTCGCTCTACCTTTACTGAACATTTGAAAAAAAAAAGTTTTGACAAGAGAAAAAAAACACAACATCGTCAAACTTTTGTTGGACCTTGCTTGCTAAATCTGAAAAATACCAATTTTCAGACAGCTAAAATTCACAATAGGATGATCTAGATCAAAGAACCGCTTAATAAAAGTAAATGAGAAACTTGTCAGAATCAAAGGCAGTTCAGAAATTCATTTTCCCAAACATCCACTGCATCTTTCGTCAGAACAATATACCTGCGCAGACGATGCTTTAATACGCTCTTGCTGCGGTTTATGCGAACCAATATACGTCTTGTTGTTCATTTCTCTGCCGTGAAGCTGGCAAACCAATCCATCTGAGCCAGGCGGGCTGTGGGACGACGGTCCTGAGCCCGGTCCCGCCACTGAGCCGGAGCCGATTTCCAGCGGGATTTCCGTAGAGGCTGCGCCAGGAGGCCGTATTCTCGACCACACACACGCCCCAAGACCGATCAAAGCCAATTACGGCCCGCTCGAATTCAGTCAGACTTGATGCAGCCTCGCCCGGCGCCGCCCATTTGCCCGTTCGAATACATAAAACATCCTCCCCGCGCAGCGACCGAGCCGGACGAAATAACAACGCGGTGCACTCGCTATCCGGCGGCGAAAGAGAGAGAGTTTGTTATTTAGAGATGCTCGTCTTCGTCTTCAACCGCAAATTTAAAATGAATGGAGCTGGATGCTAGTAATGAGAGGACTGTGGAGGTAAATATTACTGAATTCCTCTACGGGAACAGCATTTGGATACGGTAGAGATGTCTGTATTTTCTCACAATTTCAGCCCTGGAGGGTCTTTTTCGCCAGCAGGCACACCTCAAACCTGCTCCATCATGTACCTTTGTGACAAGTCGACGGACGAAGTGCTGGGTGGGCCCGGCTCTCAGCTATGGCCATCCAGCCACATACCGGCCATGGCCATCCAGCGAACAACACACAGGGCCCGCGGCGGCATTAACAGGGTGGAAAAACGGCGAGTTTAGGTACTATTGCACTCATGTAACAAAATCGATAAAACAAAATTTCGATACAATTGAGACGCAGGGAGAACAGAAAGTTGTATAGTTATTGTAAACACAATGTGTCAGCACAGACGATTTAACCCTCCCAAGTCGAGACGTTTTCTTCTCCCCGATGAGTTATTTGCGATTGTATCATCAACCAAACAACATCCAATCTACAGCACGTAAATTTAACCACATCAACAGGAGCAATGTGAGCCTTGTCTGACCGGGTGCTCTCTTTTGTTTCAGCGAGCGATGTTGGTACGTACGGCACGTCAGAAGAAGTGACAGACGATCAGACAAACTCCATCGGGACGGGTAAGACGTCAAAAATGTGTCAATACCGCTAATCAAGTGACACCCTGGGAACGCCGTAGAGAGAGAGGTAAAGTTGAGTTCAATGAGATCCTAACATACAAAAGGCTCGAACACCCCGCATACATCACCATCAAACCTTACAGCTCAATTAAAAACAGTTACCAAAATCTACCCAAATAATACAAATAAAAATGCAAGTTCCTAAAACGAAACTAATGCATCCGTTAATCATACGAGTGTAGCAAAACATACAGTTCGCGTAAACCTGTACCTCTAGTGTATCATAAAAGCAATAAGTCGCGTCAGAGAACAAGGTAGGTTATCGACTTACAACATGACACAGCACAACTGACATGACTCCCAAATGTTTGAATCTGATCATTACGCCATCTTAATCTAAAAATCTAAAGAACAATCATACTATTCTACTTATACAGCGCAGGACAACAATATCTGTGTCGAGTGGAAGCCGGCGTGGCACAACCCACCTCATGCTTACCAATGGGCCAACTGTCAATGTCCTTCGTTTCTTTCTGCGGACACAAGTGCTTACGAGCATCTGTGGCAAAAGAGGGTTGCTCCTGGACACAGGACACAGAACAAAGCTGACAGCAGAGACAACAGAGTGTCCGTGACAGAGCAGCCTTGTGACCGCTTCACGCCGAACTGCTGGCTAGTTTCACATGTTAAAAACGGTCACATGTCGGGTGCAACAGCTGGAAGGCGCATCAGAATCGCAGACGGCGATACCTTGTCATTGCACCAATGTAGTGGGGGGTGTGCTCTTCATCGGTTACCTGTCACTCATCTTTGAAGTGACTCATCTTTGAAGTGACTCATCTTTGGAGCTTGGGATAGTTAGGAATGCGTTCTTGAACTAAAGTTTGTTATTATTACTGACTTTGAAGGGCGATTATGTAGAGGCGAGTGCGTCAAGGGAACGGGATCTGGCAGACGCGATTTTAGTTGGCACGTTTCAGTGTCAGCGTCTTTAATCGCCTTTATCAAACAACACCTTTTCTGAATACGTGTCGCTGTCGTTAAAAAGACGCAATATATGGTTTCCTGGATTAAGATAAAACGCCAGGCTAAGTGCGAATCAGTTCATCTTTTGTGACCCACTGTGACCTCTGCGCAGGTCACCACCGTACTCCCATACCTAACAACCGCTTCCCCAACATGAAAGAGTAGCAGATATTGCATACATTTACACATGAGTCTGTATTGACCCGTGCCGTGCACGCCCGCTCGCAGCCAAGAATAGGACTCTGTTCTCTGTTACAATACCCCGAAACGAGAGATACTGACAACAATTGTGGTGAGTGTTGTGCACAATATGGACGACTCTTTTAAAATATATAATTATTGTTGCTAGGATTGTACCGATACAGATTCAAATTTCTGCATCAGTTGCCGGATCTGGCTTTGCGACATGCGACCAGAAGAATAAGGCATTATGAATTTTTTCTCATGACTTATGCAATGTTATTCGCATGAGAAACTCAACTTTGCTGATGAAAAATGACTTTTTGCAAAAGCGCTTTGACAGCCACGTTTCACAATTAATTTGGAAAAGAACAGCTTCACTGCTGGATTCTTTCCGGCGGCCTCAGCCTGATTTCCATTCGTGCGGACGGGCAGCGCCATTCTGGAGTGCGATGTTTGTCGCCGCCGGGCCTGCGAAGAGGTCACGTCTGCCTTTGCTGACGTCATGCGTCTCTGAGGGAGAGCTTTACAGAGCCGGCAGGCCACAGCGGCAGCTCGGTGCATACGAAGGCGCTACATGGCTGCGGCCTGGAGTCGCGCTGGAGAGAAGGGGACAGCCAGAGGGAAAGGGTAATATAAGAGATAGGGAGAGGGAAGGAAGAGGGAGAAGGAGACAGAGACAGAGACATAGAGAGAGAGAGAGACAGAGAGAGGGAGAGAGGGAGAGGGAGAGAGAGGGAGAGGGAGAGAGAGAGGGAGAGAGAGAGAGAGAGAGAGAGAGAGAGAGAGAGAGAGAGAGAGAGAGAGAGAGAGAGAGAGAGAGAGAGAGAGAGAGAGAGAGAGAGAGAGAGAGAGAGAGAGAGAGAGAGAGAGAGAGAGAGAGAGAGAGAATTAAGCAACGGCAAAGGGAGCGAAATATGATGAGCGAGATACTCATTTACAAATTACAATATAACAAAGGACTTACGTTCTGATATTTTCTGCTTCGGCAGTGGTGTAGGGAGCGGCGGATCGCGGTCCTGTCCGGGGACATAGCAGTCGGGAGACGTATCGCCGGTAAACACGCGAAGTGGCCGCCAATGTGGCGATTTATGGTCGCCACCATCCGGAGATTTAGCGTCCCAGAAGCTGGCGGACACTCCGTCGGGACGGCACGGCGGTCCGCTCGGGTAATTTACGCTCATTACTGGACGGCGGCCGCAACAGCCCACCGGGAAATCAGCAGGCAAATCTCGGCAGGAACGAGCGCTGATACACAGTGGTGCCGCCGCCGAGTGGGGCGCTGAGTTTCATGGATGGATTGCTGACGGATCACCTGGATTACCTCCTCCTATAAAAACTTGGAATTTGTTATGATAGTAATTGAATTTTTGTTGAGAATATTTACCTGCTAATGATCTAAGCATACATATAGTGATCATGTTAGCGGGAATCCTAGGACTTCAAGAGAGAAAAAAAAAATACATCATGGTCGCAGTGGCAAGAGTGTTACAAAAATATGTGCAAAACGGCTTCAAGAAACAGCAGTGCACGACATTCCATATTTCAATATTTGAGATTATTCCCTCCGTATACGTAATACGTATCGCCTCTCAAACGCTGGTGGCCTGCCTCCAAATTGGGACCGCGCCATAAAACCACTACGTGGCCCATCCTGCCGGCTGTCAAACCACCAATATTGGTGATGCATCAACTGAGTGCGTGACCTGCCTCCCCCATGTGCCCGTGATGACACCAACGATCATTTAGGATTTAAAGTGCACAAAATGCTCCACCAAACGACGCATAGTTCATCATTAGATACACTTTCCAACCAGCGCACTCTTTATATCAGGTTAACATCGTTTACGCACGCTCCCTATATTTGCATTACTACCCACATGAAAAGCAGTTACTCAGCATTCCAGAAATGTCCTTCCTTTCTTAGTGCTCGGCCCGTGCTCCTGACGCAGCTGCCTAATGTGCGCCTCTCGGCCCCTTTACTCAGCAATTCTCCTTGTCACACACGCCCACGCAGGCGGGTCTCTGCAGCTGGTCCGGTCACGCTCGCGGGCTCGGAGGCTCGGACACCGCTTTTCGTCAGCCGCAAGGGAAGAGCTTCCATTGCGGTAGCTGACGACGGTAGGTCTATACCGTCGTCAGTAGACATTCAGTACGACTTAGGTAGTGTTCGGGCTTCTCTGCATCCGCCAGAAATACACCGACTTTACACTGCGCTAGCATATTTGCCAAGACAGAAACAAGTGCCGACGCAAAGCATCGGCAACTGGTACGGCCGCAAGAGTTTGGTCATATCGAGCCCTTTTATTACCTTTTACCATCTTGCAAAACAATTTTGAAATACGCTCTGGAATATATAGCAATATGGCCTTTTGGAGCAACAAACCAGCAAGCTAGAGGATGATCCCTGCACGTGCACTGAAAATAAATTGTTTACATAATAAAGTGTTACATAATAAAGTGTTAAATAAAGTGTTTACACCTTGCATTTCAGCATGCTGAAATGAGAGGCGAGCCTTTTAAAAACACTTGAGCACGACATCCTTCTAACCGGTGTCTAGCGGTGTTCAAATTTGAGCGCACTCGATATTTGGAAGCGAATCCTGCACGTGCGCACGTGCAGTAGCAATCCAACCATGATACATGAAAATTAACTACCCGATGGGTGCCTACATGAATGTTAAGTTTCAGCCCAGCCGGCTCAATTATTGTCAAATTAATGTGAGCAATACAAAACTGACAACTCTTCCTTTTGCACGTGGCACGAGCATTATGGGTCATCGGGAATAACTTGGAAGTAAAGGTGAAGTGATAACCACATTGGGAAACTGTAAAAATCAATAACAATAAATGAACGATTGGAAAGTAGTACATACAATAATATCAGTAATGCTCTCATCTGTCGTTTGGCAGTATAAATAAAATCCAGTCAATCATAGCCAACGGTGATACCCGTTTGCATAAAATGCACCATGCATTCATGATTGCAACTTGCACAAGCGAGCTGACGACCTAGTTTTGCTTAATTCAAAAGGAACAGCTGGAAGAGGCCCCTGATGGAATAGATTTGCTCGGAAGAAGATCGCACACATCACCCCTGAAGCGGCCGATAACGGAAAATGAGTCCTTTGATAAATGGGAATGACCGCAGATGATGAATGACTGATAGCGCACTTCACGAGTGGCGTGAATCACATCTTAACGCACCCTTTCTGTCAAGGGTGACAGGTAAATGTGACCGTGCCCAAAAGTCAGGGGTCCTAAACGAAATGCGGATACGCAGAAAGATATTTCCCTCCCAGTTCGACCAGGACTATGTATGTCTTATGCAGAGCTCTTCTCATCTCACGACTTGTTGAAGGGGGGGGGCTTACACGCTCCTACTTGCTGCCGTACTTATGGTCTCCGAAACAGCCCTGGTAAGTTATCCCGCGCCCTGCTGGGGGGGGGGTGTTTGAACACCCCCCCCCTTGTGGTTTTTCGCGAATATCTCAAAAACGGCGGCGCGGAGCGCCGCCGTTTTTGGTACACCTTATCATACATCAATTCTACACATGTTGTGAAAATTTCAGACCAAGGTCATTCAAGGTCAGGTCACCAGGTCACTTGAAGTGACCTCACCTCATAAAAAGTTTCAATGTCTGTCATAGCTACACCGAGTGACCGATCGCTTTGAAACTTTCAGCGATTGCTAAGAGCAATAGCATGTACAAAATGTATAGCTCAGAATTTTGATA